AGACTAGAGGGGATGTTTCAGGAATGTCTGCCCCGAGAGCTGGCCCTGAGGTGGTCCACTGTGCAGAACTGGAGATATATCTGGCCTGTGGCACTTGAATTTGGGACTGACATTGGCACAGATGTGCTGTGTTATATGTATCTAGATCATTCACATTCACCTTCTCTGACCACAGCTGGAAGTCCTGGAGACCTCCAGCAGCCCCTCGGATCCTTCTCTTCATTCACTTGTTCATTCACTCAACTACTCACCAGTGGCCTGCACACAGTGTGTGCACAGGACAGTCCCCTAACGAGGATACAGTCTGGACAGTTTGCTCATTCTGTGCTGTTCAGAGAGGCAATAACTACAGGTGACAAGAAAAGAGGGTGACACCCGGTGTGGGGGCACACAACTGCAATCTCAGAATTCAGAAGACTGAGGCAGGGGGATGGTGAATTTGAGGCTTTGCTCTACAGTGAGACCCTATCTAAAAGGAGAGGGGAGGGCAACAGGGAGGTTCGATGTTGGAGGATGCTCAGTGCCCCGACCTAGGAATGCTAGCTTTGGCTGCCACAAAAACTCAACAAACAGGATAAATTAACTTAAAAATTTTTTTAAACAAAAGTGACCAAGCCAGCAACATTTTAAGCCTGGGAGAGTCTGTTTGACCTGAGTTGGGGTAAGGTAAGCAAGGCCATAAGGCCAGTTACAATGTTATATTTTTTATTCATTTTTTGTATCCTTTAAATTTTTTATTTTGTTTTGGGTGTTTTTGTTTGCTTCCTTGCTTCTTTTCTTTTCTTTTCTTTTGGAGACAGGGTTTCTCTGTGTAACCTTGTCTGTCCTGGGACTCACTCTGTAGACCAGGCTGGCCTCAAACTCAGAGATCCTCCTGCCTCTGCCTCCTGAGTGCTGGAATTAAAGGTATGAGTCACCACCACCATGCAGCCATCACCATCGTATTTCCCACTTTGCAGAAGAAGAAACTGAGTCTCTGAGGGGTTCATCCACCCACTAGGTGGGGGGGGGAATCAGAAAGAAATAGAGGTAGGATTTGAACCCAGGTCTTTTATCACCCAGCACGGCATGTCTTCTACCTACCTCCACATCTTGAAAGAATCACCCAAACTGTGCGGCTCCTGCACAGCCTCAGTTTCCCTCCTGTGTAAGGCGAGGCTAATAATTATCAAGCCTGCCTCCAGGGGCTGGAGTAACAAGAGACTATACCAGGCCCAGCAAGGTCCCCATCATTTTTATCCTCCGAAGAATAAGAGGGACCCCACTCCGACTGTAAAAGGAGCAGCTTGGCCATTTGTTCTTCAAACACTGATTTTATTCTTTAGATCTTTTTGGCGGGGAAGGGTTGGGGACGGCAATCAGTTTTCGGACTTAAGATAAAAAATCGCAGGAAAGGGGCTGCTTGACTCTCTATAATTAATGGGGCGGCCTGTAATAGGATTCTCCTGCCCATGGCGCTCCCAGGAAACACCTTTTTACATAAGATATTGCCCACGCTGGAGTGGCAGTGGGTGATTTATGGGGTTCCCTGCTGCACAAAGCCTCTCCAGGGGTTGCCAACCGCTGGATTTATCAGGGAATTTGGAAGCCAGGCGCAGAGCCCGCCTGTGACATTTTTGGTGGAATTTAAACAGCACAAACACTGGAGAAGGGAGAGGCAGGTGAGATTGGGTGGGGGGGGGGGGCGGGCTACGTTTAGACCACAGGGCCAGAGGTGGTGAGTCCCAGCTGTGATTTATAGCCGGAGGGCCAAGGAAGACGTGGGTAAGAAAACCAAGCTAGGAGTCTCTCATAGGTCTTGGGTCCTCAGTGAGTGGCTCTGATTGGGGACCCAGCAGCTGTCTGCTGTGTCAGATCCCTATGTGAGCAGGTCAGCCATCCACTGTGGGCCCATGTATTCCTAGACACAAAGCCTCCAGTGGAGAGGGTGCATCTCCACACTAGCAGCCAAGAGTGCACTTTCCCTCCTGTAGGGGGTCCTGAATCTAAGGTGGGGGGGGGTAGAGCACCACGTTGTCCACTCAATGGTCAAGTTAGCTCAAGATGAAGAGGGAGTCCTAAGCTAAGCATGGGGCTCAGGGAGGCTGCCATAGGAATATAATCCTGCCACAGGACCTATGCACGTGTTGCTTGCTACTGGGGCTCCTCCCTTCTTTTCCCTTTGTTTCTTTTGGAACTCAGTGCACAAATTTTACCTTTTCCAAGCTGGGTGTGGCTCAGTGGTAGGGTGCTTGCCCAGAATGTATAAGGGCTGTAAATGCATACACAGCCTCAAGTGCTGTCAAAAAGGAAAAATCAGAACAGCTTCCCCTCTGTTAAAGACTCATGTTGATGTAGTTACGAGCTAGCCCATCTGAAGTTCGGGGCTCCTTTAAATACTCCATCCCATAAAATGGCCTGTGTGGTTTCTCCAGCACACTCTTTCCCATCTTCCTCACCTCTCCTTAAAACCCCTGTCAGTTATACATTGTATGTATGTGTGCATTCGTGAAAGCACGTGTGTGTGTGTGTGTGTGTGCGCGCGCGCGCGCGCGCGCACGCACATACTCAGGCACACATGGAAGCCAGAGGTTAACCTCTGGTGTCATTTCTCAGTGAGGCTATCCCAGCTGAAAGGGCCACCTTCCTCCCTCCTCCTACCTGCTCCAGGGTGACAACAGCACTTTTGTCAGCCAAAGCTTGAAGATGAGACCAAGGGTTTGAATGAACCCCGGTAGCTGAGGAGGGGCAATGGGAGACACAGGCAGGCCAGCGGGGTGCATGTGAGCAGGAACACACACCCACAGACACAGGTTGCAGTGGTCCCGTGCAGCCCCCCAGCAAGTGCCCTCTGACCCCAGCCCCCTCCCAGGCTCTGCTCTCCCAAGGGAGAACCCAAAGGCGGCAGAGTGGTTGTCCACCCACTGAACCTGGCCCTGCCACAACAAGAATGTAGTGTCCCCTGTTCCTTTGTCCCCTCTCTCCACCCTTCCCACTTTCAGATGCTTTGGGTGTTAACCAGAGGGTCTGAACTGAGCTCAGGACACACACGTTATCCAGGTGGGTCAACAGTCCTCCAGGGCTGTTATCTGTAGCTCCAGAGACCGGGCAAGGAACAAACAGCAGCTGACAGGACTCCCAGGAGGGACAGTCACAGGGCTGAGGCCAGGCCAGGGCTGCCTGGGATCCCCGACACCTGGACCGGAGACAGCCTCTGCCACTCAGGCACAGGGACAGGAGGAGGGAGGAACATGGGCTGCCTGAACAGTCCTGGGAGGCTTCAGGGAGGAGGCAGGCCTCATGCCAGGCTTGGAGGATGTATATGAGTCAGGAGCCTAGAGAGTAAGGCAGGCAGAGGACACAGGCCGAGGAAGGGGACACAGTGGACAGTCTATGCATAAGTTGTGTGGCCCAGCCAACGGGTTCAACTGTTCTGACTCAATTTCCACACGTGAATGCAGGTAGCAATTGTCTGTATGGCATGGGTCATTATGGGAAAAATGGTCCAAAGCCCTAAGACACACAGCAGGTCCACAGTCACCCACCCCCATCAGCCCATGTCACAGCCCAGAGCACTAAGACAGCGAGAGCAAGAGCAGCGAGGGAGTATCTGCTCAGGACGCCCTGAATTATTAGCAAGAATAAAGATGGACTCAGGCCTGGCGGTGGTGGCGCACACCTTTAATCCCAGCACTGGGGAGGCAGAGGTAGGCGGATCTCTGTGAGTTCAAGGCCAGCCTGGTCTACAGAGTGAGTTCCAGGACAGACAGGACTACATAGAGAAACCCTGTCTCAAAAACAAAGAAACAAACAAAAAAGATGGACTCAGGTCTGGCTGCATCTGGCTCTGGGACTCACAGCACCAAAGTCTCTATCCTGGCAAAGTCACAAATTGTGGCTCCAGGGAACTGGGAAACTGGTTCCCAGGTGTCTGGTAGGGGATTCTTAGCAAGTGAGGGTAAGGTCTGGGGTTCTGGAGGAAATACAGTGCAGGCAGCAGATTTGAGAGTGGAGGTCACTGCTACCTGAATCCTGCCATTGAGGAAGGAGGTGAGTCATGATCTGTGGGCTGTAGGCCCAGAGAAGGAAGGACACTCGCCTAAGGCCACACAGCCCTGAGCTGTGACTCCCCAAGCTGATTCCTGTCACCTGGGGGACTGTGAGGAAAATAAGAAGACCCTATACAAAGATAAGGTAAACCAGGTGGTGGCACACACCTTTAATTCCAGCACTTGGGAGGCAGAGGCAGGTAGATCTCTGTGAGTTCGAGACCAGCCTGGTCTACAGAGCTAATTCCAAGACAGCTAGGGCTACACAGAGAAACCCTGTCTTGAAAAAAAAAAAAGAACAACAACAACAACAGAAAGACAAGATGTGTCTCAGATCCTTTGGGGGCCTCAGATTGGGAAGAGAGCCAAGGGGAATCCCAGGGTTGCCAGATACAAGACTACCCTGAAGACTCCTTCCCCATAGGAGACACTCTGCTGCCCCCTTGTGGCTTCAACAGAGTTAACGTCATCCTAAGAAATTTTCAGGAGCTGAAGGCCTTGAGCCACTGGGAAAGGGGTGGGGGGGGACACACACTGCAACTCCTACCTCTTCCCCCGAGCCATGTCACTCATGCTGACATAACCTAGTAACACTGAGAAATATTGTCTGCACCTGGCTGAGTCACATGCCAGCTTTGTGCCCTTGGGGCATTATGTCACTTGCACGCACACGCACACACACACACACACACACACACACACACACGCACACACACACACACACACACACACACACACACTGTGACAGGCACTTGCTGGCAAGGCCTTGGTGAATGTTGATGGAGAGAAGGACTCAAGTTCTTAGAAAAGTCACTGACAGTTAAGGAGGTGACATCATCTCCTCCAGGGAGGGACGTGTTTCAAGGCCCCATGCAGTCACTCCTGCTGTGACATGGAGTCACTGTCTGAGAACCAGCTTCAGGATTGTGTAGCTTGAGAGGTAAAAATGCAAAAGCCTTGGAAGCCACACACTCCACTCAGGAAGGTTTATTCACTGAACTCAGGGAGCCCCTGGGAGCAATCCAAGAGGGCTACCTGAAAGAAGAGGGCAGGACAGCTGCAACTGAGGCCCCTTGGGTGGCCATGAAGGGGTCCAGGAGCCTCTCTGGAGTCCCTGGGAGCCCTCAGCTACAGCCCAGCTGGGTTTTCAGCTCCTGGAGCTGTTGGCTACTGATATTGTTGCCACCACACACTACGACCACAATGGAAGCCAGGGCCGGGCCCAGGCGACCCTCAGCCTGGAGCCTCCCCAGGATGCCTGAGTATACAGCAGCCAGGGCGGCCCCACAGGCAGGCTCCACCAGCATGCGCTCATCATCTGTGGGGAAGAAGCGGGAGGGCAGTCAGTCAGTGCTCAGCAGGAGGGGTCCACTCTGCCAACCCATCCATCCTTCCATCTATCCATCATCCATCATCCATCCATCATCCATCCTTCCATCCATCCATCATTCATCCATCATCCATCCATCCTTCCATCCATCCATCCATCCTTCCATCTATTCATCCATCATCCATCCATCATCCATCCTTCCATCCATCCATCCATCCATCCATCCATTATCCATCCATCCATCATCCATCCATTCTGCCATCACAGGTCTCACTTTCTACAGATCTACTCCTTACTCCATCACATGGCTGTCTCTCTGTCCATCCATCAGTGTAGCCTTCGTCTGTAAAGCCAGCCAGGAACCATCCATCCATCCATCTCCTACCCATCATGTGACTGTTCATTCATCAACCTGCTCATCAATATGTCCATCTACCTGCCAATCGATCCACCCATCCATACATACAGACACTCATCCAACCATCCATCCATCCATACGCACATACATCCATCCACTCATCTGTCTACCCACCCATCCATCCATCCACACACCCACCCATCCACCAATTCACTCATCCATACATCCATCCATCATCCATCTATCCATCTATCCATCCATCTATCCATCCATCCATCCATCCACCCATTCTCCCACCCACCAATCCATTCATCCACCCTCCCACCCACCCACCCATCCACACAACCTTCCATCGACCCACCTACCCACACACACATCCATCCACCCAACCATTCATTATATTCATATACCCTCCCATCCATCCATTCATCCTCCCACCCACCCACCAATCCATTCATCCATTCACCCACCAATCCACCCATCCATCTACCCACCCACCCACGCACACAACCATCCATCCACCCACCCACCTATCCATCCCTACTTACCTGGCCCACACACACACATTCATCCTCCTCTCCCTTTACTGCCCATCCATCCATTACTCATCTTCCCCATTCACTTATACATTCATCTGTTCATTCAACAAATACCTCACTCTCTGCCTGCCTCTGTGCTTACAAGATCCTGGGGACATAAGAGTGGCTACGACACAAAGGCCCACCCCTACCCAGTCATACCCCAACAGCAGGTAAAAACAAGGCAGCTGCAGGCAGAGGGGTTAGTGTATTGGAAGTCTCTAGTTAGTGAGATGGTGTGGGGAGATCAGGGTGGCTTCCTGGAGGCGACACCATAATGGATTAGTAGTCATCACCATGGACAAGCGGCATGGGATAGGGCCAGGATGGACACCCAGAGGCAGGAAGGTGGGAAAAGCATGTACAAAACTCCTGGGGGGGCCAAGACTTTCTTCTCCTCTCATCCACTACAGGACACACCCCTGCCAGCCCTGTCACCACTGCCCTGCCAGCCCTCTCACAGATGCTGGGGACACGGTTGATGTGGACGATGGATGACCTGCATCTCACTTACCCAGAAACCTCTGCACAGCTCTCACAGCCTCCCGGTCTTCCACCACCTCAGAGAGAATCTCACACTCCTTCGCACACTCCAAGGTCCGTGCAGCCACCGTCTTGGCTCCCAGGCTCTTGGCTACACTGCAGGGGAGCAGATGGGAGAGCAGACACATCAGAGCTCCACCCTGCAGAGCCCAGGTCACCCACATCCTGTGGTGCACAGGTACCTGTCAGGAAGCCCAGACGTGCTCAGATGCTGTGTATACCATGAACAACTCATGAGCACGCTTGGTCTTCTACCCCATGCTGACCTCAGGAAGCCACCACAGAAGGGGGCGTTGGCCATCTGGTCACTTTATTTACCAAGGACTGTTGACAATGGATGTCTTCTAGCCCTCACTGGAGGGGAATGGGCTGTGTGCACGCTTCTGCTCTAATCCTCACAGCCCTCCCACACACACTTTGAGTCAGAGGAGAGGAGGATCAGAGAGGGTAAGTAACTACATCAGGAACACACAGCTAGTGTATACGAGAACTCCGACTTAGATGATCTCAGGGCTGGGGTCACCTCCCTGCTACTATCCACAGTGAGCCAGAGTTTGTGTTTTGAACCCAGAGATATCTTTGGGGACCTCTGACTCCCAAGGAACCCAGACCACTAAGGCTGGAGCCAGAGTGTCCACTTCCTGACTTTGACTCTGCACTAGCTGTGCAGCCTCATCTGAATGATGGAACTTTCCAGGGCCGTCATGAGGCTTGAGCGAGCAGACACCTGTAAGGCACTTCACTCAGGGCTGGACGCTTCGTGAAGCATTGCCGCTGGGGTGACTGGGTACACAGTTGGAGCAGAGGTGACGAGCGAGGAAACAAGCTGGGTGTGGTGGCACAGGCCTGTCATCCTCCGCGCTGGGGAGGCTGAGACGGGAGGATGGCAAGTTCAAGGCCAGTCAGGGCTACAGAGAGAGTTCAGGGTCAGCCGGGACAACTTAGTGGGACCCTGTCATAGATCAGAGTCAGAACATTTGCCCAGCACAGGGCAGGGAGTGTAAGGGAATAAACACCCACCTGGTACACTTGGGAGGGGAGCATCAGGATCCAACACCCACATGATACACTGTGAGGTCACCAAGACCCAGCACCCAGTACCCAGCACCCACATGGTACACTGCGAGGGGAGCATCAGGACCCAGCACCCACATGGTACACTGTGGGGTCATCAAGACCCAGCACCCAGTACCCATATGGTACACTGCCAGGGGAGTATCTGTTGGGGAAGTCCTGTGTATATGTCAATAAATTACTGCTGGCCAATAGGAATCTAGATAGGTGGGGCTAGGAGTCCAGGAGGATTCTGGGAAGGAGAAACACAAGAGAGTCAACATGTAACGCCATGGGGGTAGGAAGCCTGGAACTATTCTCCGGTAAGAAACATACTTAGATTAACAATTATGGGGTAATTACTTAAGTCAGAGCTAGCCAGTTAGAAACAAGCAAGGCCAACAGCTTCATAATTAATATAGCCTCCTGTGTGTTTATTTGGGACTGATGCCGCTCTGGAACCAGGCGGGCGGGAAGGCTCCTCTCAAGGAAAGCTTCTCTTAACAAGTATCAGGACCCAGCACCCCAGGAGATAGCAGTGGGCTCTCTGTGGTGACATCTAATCTGAGCTACAAGAGATGAGGGAGACAAGACAGACGGATGAGGAGTGTCCTGGGCATGGAAACAACACATGCAAAGGGTCAGGGACAGCAGAAGCTTTCAGCCATTACAAGTACAGAAAGAGGGGCCTCGGCAGAGGAAGAAGGGAGACCTGGAGTTTGGCTGCAGGCTTAGGAGAAGGCAAGGATGGGCACAAGTTGAGGTTGATTCTTGTAGAGGGGTGTGGCTCCGTGGGCTACAAAGATAGTTCAAGGCCAGCCTGGGCTACAAAGAAAGTGGGGCTCGGTGGCAGAGCACCATAGTCCAGGCTGGCCTTGAACTCTCTCAGTAAGGCACCCTAAGAAGCCCCAATCTCCGCTCCTAGCACTGAACAAAGATTCTAGCATAGCACACATGAGGCCCTGGGTTCTATCCCCAGCACCCCCATTAACTGGATATGGTGGGTTATGCCTATAATCCCAGCACTTGGAGGGAGGATCAGGAGTTCAAGGTCGCCCTTAGCTACATAGTGAGTTCAAGGCTAACCTGAGCTACATGAGATCCTGTCTCAAAAATTTTTAAAGAGACCACTGACCTACAGTTTCAATAAGTGAAGAGTGTAGTCTTCTCCCACATGTCTTCATGTAGATGTTACTCCCCCAAAACAATGGCCACAAGACTGGTCCAGGGAACTTGGGAGGCTGTTGCGCCACACCAGGGTTCAATGATTGTGGTAGTTTGAATATGATTGATCCCATAATCTCATACGGAGTGAGGTGTGGCTTTGTTGGAGGAAGTGTGTCACTGTGGGGGTGGGCTTTGAGGTTTCCTATGCTCAGGATACTGCTAAGTGTCACAGTCCACTTCCTGTTGCCTGCAAGATGTAGGACTCTCAGCTACTACTCTACTACCATGTCATGTCTGCCTGCATGCCACCGTGACAATGGACTGAACCTCTGAAACTGCAGGGGAGCCACCTCAAGTAAGTGTTTTCCTTATAAGAGTTGCTGTGGTCATGGTGTCTCTTCACAGCAATAGAACCCTGACTAAGACAGTGATCTAGGAGGTGTAAGAACATGGTTGCGGGGGCTGGAGAAATGGCTCAGCAGCTAAGAGCACTGGCTGCTCTTCCAGAGGACCTGGGTTCAGTTCCCAGCACCCACATGGCGGCTCATAACTGTAATTCCAGTTTCAGGGGACCCAACAACTTCACATAGACATACATACAGGCAAAACATGAATGCACATGAAATAAAAATAAAGAAATCATTTAAAAAACATTAAAAAAAAGAACAAGGTTAAGAGGGGAACTGGGGTCTAGGAATGGGACAGATGTAATCTCCAAAGCCAAGGGGAGTCCTTAGGTAACCCCCCAATGCAACACCCCACCTATGTGGAATGCTGTTGTCTGCATCATGGGGTATCACGTGGGATCATGTTGTGTTACTGCTGTGCCGGGCTCGGGGGTGTGCACTCACCTTCAGGCTTATACAGCTGGACTGCCACTCTGTAGTAAATCCCCTTTTTTTCCTTTTCTTTTCTCTTTTCTTCCTTTCTTCTTTCCTTCCTTCCTTTCTTTTCATACACAGGGTCTCATTAGCCTGGCCCCCACCTGCCTCTGCCTCTCAGGACTAGACTACAAGCTCACACCGCCACGCTCCTTTCACCAAGGTCCCGGGGACTGAACTCTGGTCCTCATGTTTGCAAGGCAGGAACTTACCCATCCTCCATGCCTGTCTCCCTGGCTGGGTTTCCCCTCATTTCTTACAGCAGCCCCAGGAAACTGGTCGGCTTGTGTACGCGTGTGTTTGAGACAGGGTCCCTCGCCACGTCTGGAGCTCACCTCTTCTGCGAGGCTGAGAGGCCTGCAAGCCTCTGGGGTGTACCGCACGCTGCCACCGCACCCAGATTCCGTTGGCGCGGAGACTCTAAGCTCAAGTCTTCACATTTCTGAGGCAAGCACAGGCCACTCCAGCACCACCCCACCTTTATTTTGAGGCAGGGTCTCTCTCTCTCTCTGCAAACTCAGGCTGGATCCTCATTCTCAACCCTCCTGCCTCAGCCTTCTAAGTGTTGGGATGACAGGGGTGTACCCATAAGCCCAGCTTTTATCCACACCCTCTGACTTGGATCTTCGGGACAGTGGTCAGAACGTCGGAACGAGCAGATGTTTGGGGTGCGCCCACTCCCACTACCTTGGACAAAGAGGCCATAGGATAGAGACACCCCATCCTCTACCCCTTCAGATGATTCGCCCAGACTCACCTGGTGATATCTGGCAAAGTGACCAGCCTGCCTGCCTGCAAGGCCGCGTTGAAGCTGTGCGCCCCCTCGGGTCTCCATGGCAACAATGGGCACGTGCTGCCAGCCTACCTCCAGCAGGCCAGCAGTCACACCTGCTAGGAGCCCTCCGCCCCCCCACGGCCAGCACCACAGCACCTGGCGGGGTCCCCAGTGATTCCTTCAGCTCCCGCACTAGGCTGGCATGGCCTTCCCTGTGGGGGAGGAGTGGAACAAATTATGGGAGTCTGGGGACAGGTGGCCCCTCCTCGGTCACTGGAAGAGATGAGATGGTGCAGCAGGGTCCCCTCTGCTTCCGCGTTACTCTCCACCCACTCACCCCTCCTCCCACCCACCAGTCTCCTCCACCCGCCCAGCCTCTCTGTCGCCTTACCTCATTCAACCCTCCCCACTCGAGGGAGAAAGACCCTCATCAGGGAGGGTTAAGAGGGGCCAGCCTGTGACTTAGGACCATTTGGGGTTCTGGAAGTAGAAACCCTCTCTGCCCCTGACCAGCTGTGTGCCCTTGGGCAAGTGTCTTGACCTCTCTGTGCTGCAGTGGGCTTTCCAGAAGATGAATAGGCAGTGAGGGAATGCCAGCAGCCTGCACCCAGCCCCAAGGCACACATTTGATTAAGGATATTTTATATTACGATTTCCATTCTAGCGATGGAGAGACTGAGGCACGGGCCGTGAGGAGTTTTGCACAAAACACAATTCCCAAGGAGCAAAGTCTGAAGCCACGTTTGCCCGGCTTTGAAGGTTCTTCTCCTTTCTGGGCCTCAGTTTTCTTAGTCCCTGATTCAATGAGGGCCCCCTACTCTGGCACCCTGGGAACAAAGCCACAAGCTAAGCTTACCATATAAGGGGATGGTCAAATGGGGAGACATTCACCCAGCCGTCCCTTCTGGCCAAGTCTTGAGCCCTTATATTGGCTTCATCCCAGACCTAAAGAGAAATAGAGGCCCTGGAAATACCTGGGGTACAGACTCCACAGACACTGTGCCAGAGACTGGGGTCTCCTACAGGGCTGGAGGAGGCCTCCCCTGAGGGGGACCACACCTCCCAGAGTGAGGACTGAAACCTCTGCGTGGGTCAAAGGACACCTGTGCCTCCCTCATTTGACAGCAGGGCCAGAACAGCTCAGGCAGAACCAATGGGCTCCAGGGCTGGTGACATGGAGCCCACATCCAGCCCATAGGAAGGGACAAATCCCTCACACCAACCCCATATACCGGCTGGGTCCCTGCAGCCTATCCATGAGAACCTTCGCCACCCTAAGGTGGTCCCCTGACACCTGTGCCCACCATAGGTCGCCCACCCCTCCTGAGCTCTGAGGAAACCCCAGGTGGCACAGGCACGCCCTACCCCGCAGAGATGGCTTGCCGCCCGGCCCTGCCCCGCCCTGTTCCTGGAGAGACAGATGGGAGAGTAAATGCTAAAGGGAAGGGAGTGGAGAAGCAGAAATCAGCGGGATGCGGTGGCGCACACCTTTAATCCCAGCGCCTGGGAGGCAGAGGCAGGTGGAGCTCTGTGAGTTCGAGGCCAGCTCTGTCTACCTAGTGAGATCTGGGACAGCCAGGGCTACACAGAGAAACCCTGTCTGGGAAACAAAAGTAAACAGAACGAAAAGAAGCAGAGGAGAAGGAAAGGAGAAGGGACTGGAAGGAGGTAGGGAGGGCTCCATGGTGTTTGGTGGCAACTTTGGGCGCCGTGGTTCAGGGAACAGACAGCTTCCATGTAGGGTCTTCTGAGGTCCCCATTACTGCCTCATTGGGGTCTCAGAGGAAGAAACGACACAGCCATCATCAAAGACATTTTGTCTTACCAAACTGCCAGTCTTTCAGGTTCTAGTGCCAAGTGTCAGTGAGGATGGGGGACTCTCCTGGCAGTGGTCTCCTCAGGGTGGGACAACAGGTTCAGAGGTCCCAGCCCTGAAAGTGCCACAGCCTTGTCCCACCCATCCTCTCTTCTCTCCACCCTCCCGAGAAAAGATTGAAGTCCAAGACAATGGCTCTGGCCAACGTTCATCCTAACTACATGGGGGCGGTGCCCTGGGGTGGAGTCGGGGAGGACTCAGCGCCCCTCCCCCAGCCCTCTGCCCTTGCTTTCCATTCCTTACCTTCCCAGTCAGCTGGACCTCGGCCCCCTCTCCCTCCAGCCGCCTCACCACCTGCGAGGAAGTGTTCTCTGGGAGCACGATGGTGACAGGGATGCCCAGCTTCCGAGCCGAGTATGCGGCTGCAATGCCTGCATTGCCCCCTGGGAGCAGTAGAGGGAGGAGGAGATCCTCAGATTTCCACATGCCTACCCCAGCCCTGTAAGTCACCTGTGTATCTGCCCCCCTCCCCACCGCTGGCAGAGGGAGACACCTGATCTACATCGAGCCAATCAGAGAGGGCAACCTCCTCGCCCACTCCTTACTGCTTCAGGGGTGAGTATGCTGCCCAGGCTACTGTGTACCCTGGACAGAGAGGGGAAAGGGGAAGAAAAAGCAGGAGATGGAGAGCAGGAGAAGAGACTGGCTGGATCCACGTCTGAGAGCCATTTATCCTGAGGATGTGCAGAACTTGGAGCCTACAGCTTTAAACCACGGTGAGATGGGGCGCTGTCTCTCGCAACCACCATGAATGTCAGGTTATTGGGAAGGGACTGAAAACAGGTGGTGTGCAGCTGTCTGAGATGAGACCCGGATGAGGCTAATCCTTAAAATGAAGCTAAGCAGGCGTGGTGGCGCACGCCTTTATAATCCCAGCCCTTGGGAGGCAGAGGCAGGCGGATCTCTGTGAGTTGGAGGCCAGCCTGGTCTACAGAGTGAATTCCAGGACAGTTAGAGCTACACAGAGAAACCCTGTCTGAAAACAAACAAACAAACAAACAGAGCTAAACCGGTCCTGTAATCAGGAAACACTCAGGAGGTAGAGACAGGAAGTCAGGAGTCCACGGCCTTTACAAAGGAAAGAACAAATGAAGGAGGGAAGGAGGGAGGGTGGGAGGGGGGCAACTCCTGGGCATTGAGGATGCTCTAACTGGCTCCCCTGCCCCCACCCCAGTCCTGAGGACTCCTAGTAAAACCGAGAGGGGCGGGGTCACCTGAGGAGCACACCAGATGCCTGCATCCCCTCATGGCCATCTGGAGAGAGAAAGGATGGAGTCAGGGGTCACTCCAGTCACGGAGGCCTTTTAGGGATGTGGCTGGGTGCTCCGTCCACACCCAACGCTCCTCTCCCTCCATCCTGCCCACACTTCCTCCAGGGCCCCGTGTGACCTCACTCCTCCCCCCCAGCCCCGTGCCCACCCTCCTTCACCTGCTGACAGAAATGTCCGATGCCCCGGATCTTAAAGGATCCAGCCGGCTGTACATTCTCATATTTGAGGAAGACGGGCATGCCTGCCACCCGAGACAATGCCCAGCTCTCCAACAGGGGCGTGACCCTGTGGAAAGGCTCTGCCCTGACACGCTCCGTCAAGGCTCCCTCCATTCCTGTGGCACACAGATGACCTGCAAGAGGGGCGTGCATGGTTCAGATCCTTAACCATGAACCATGACAGGGGAAGGGAGGTCAAGGCCCCTGAGCCTGGCCATCCCAAATCCAACCCCGCTTCCAAGCTTCAAGTCCAGGCAAGTGTCTGTCCCTCTCTGGACCTTGGTTTCCCCATCTGAACAAGGCAGATTGTCCTGGGTACTGTTCACTTAGTGTCTGTGGCTGTCCATAGTGCTGGAGACACACAGTATGACCGAAAAGTAATAAACATGCATTCATTCATTCATAATTTTTCCATGAAAAATGCTGGTTAAGCAGGTGCCAGGGAGGCAGGGCCCTTCCCTAGTCCCTTACCTTTGATGTTGGCAGTGTTATTTCCTCTTCCCAGTCATAGGTTCCTAGTTACACAGCCATGGCCTGTATCTCTAAAAGCAAAGATGCTTTTGCTGTAGTTGCTGTCTCCATGTGTGGTCCAGGCTGGCCTGGCACCCACATCCTCCTGCCTTCATCTCCTTAGTGTTGGGGTTATAATGCTATGATGTCACACTGGCCAGAAAGCTTTTGTTTTTGATGTGCATATGTAGCTTTACAACGGTCTACATTTGGTGATGATTTTACGCCGCTGCATAACAAATTTGAAGCCAGTCAGGGCCACACAATATCTGTCTCAAAACAAAAACAGAGGAGGGTGGGCTGAAGAGATGGTTCAGCAGTTAAGAGCACATGATGCTCTTGCAAAGGACCCAGGCTCAGTTCCCAGTACCCATATGGTGGCTCACAACCGGATATAGCTCCCAGTCCAGGAGGTCTGATGCCCTCTTGTGGCCAGCTTAGGCACAGCTTGAACATGGTGTGTAGGCATACATGCAGACAAACACATGTACACATAAAAATAAATTTTAAAAGATTGCAAAGGGGTCTGGTGAGATGGTTCAGCAAATGCTACTTGTCTCATAAGTCTGATGGCCTGGGTTTGATCCCCAGGAACCACTTAAAGGTGGAAGGAGAGAATCTAGTTCACAGTGTCATCCTCACACACACCCATACACACACTCACTCACATATATACACATTCAGATACTCACATACACACTCACACACATATACTCACACACACATACAAACACTTACACACATACACTCTCACACATACACACATACACACACATTCACACACTCACACATACACACTCTCACACACACATACATACACACACAGTCACACATACACACACTCACATACAGACCCACACAAACATACACACTCACATACATACACTCACACACGTACACACACACTCTCAAACACTCACACACACTGATAATAAATACAATTTTTAAAGGGGGGAGGAAGATGGGCTTGGAAGCACATGCCTTTACCCCATCATGCAGGAGGCAGAGGCAGGAGGATCTATGAATTCCAGGTCAGCCTGGTCTACCAAACGAGACCAGGGCCAGACAGGGATACATAAAGAGGCCTTGTCTATAGATAGATTTTTAAAAAACAAATAAATAAATAAGAAATGAGGAAAGGAATGTTGGAGAAAGGAACAAGCTGGGTGGTTGATCACACCTGTAATCCCTGCACTCAAACTCAGGAAACTGAGGCAGGAGGGCCAGCCTGGACTACAAGTGAGTTCAAGGACATATTCTCAGCTATGTATTGAGAAGGTCTTGTTTCAAGCCACCAAAGAAAAGGGACAAAAACAGAAATAAAAACTATCCTCCATCTTTAATGCCAGCACTGGGGAGGCAAAGGCAGGCGGATCTCTGTTAGTTCGAGACCAGCCTGGTCTACAGAGCGAGTTCCAGGACAGCTCCCAAAGCCACAGAGAAACCCTGTCTCAAAAAACCAAAAAAAAAAAAAAAAAAAAAAAAAACCACAACAACAAAACTTATCCTCATTTTTTGGTGAGGCCCTTTGCAGTTCCAAGGTTGGCCACCAGGAGGCGAGTTGCACCCTATCCCTCCAGTCCCCCCACCCCCAGCCTGAACCTCTTACCCTCTTACTCAAGGAATTCAAATGGGAACTGGCCCCTTTGTCAGGATGGCCCTGGACCTCCCCAGACAAGGCAAAGAGAGCAAACCGCTTCATCTCTTTCGGCACCTCTCACGGGAAAGGGGGCCTATGAGCTGTATCTGGTCCCCAAACTGCCTGTGCTGGCCAGTTTTTGTGTCAACTTGACACGAGCTGGAGTCATTTTGGAAGTGGGAACCTCAACTGATAAAATGACCCTACTAGACTGGCCTGTGGGAAAGCTGGTCGTGTATTTTCTTGATTGATGATTGATGGAGGAGGGCCCAGCCCACTGTGGGTGGGGCCATCACTAGGCTGGTGGTCCTGGGTTCCATAAGAAAGCAGACGGAGCAAACCATGGGGAGCAAACCAGTGAGCAGCACCCCCGGGGTCTCTGCACCAGCTCCTGCCTCCAGGCTCCTGTCCTGACTTCTTTGATGACAAATAATGATATGGAAGTGTAAGTTTAATAAACACTTCCTTCTCTTTGTTACCTTTGGTTTTGGTGCTTCTCACAGCAATAGTAACCCTAACTAAGGCATCCCTCAAAGCCTGACTTGACCCACACTTCAGTGTTGCAACCCCAGATCACAGGTTTGGGGGCTAACCAGAGATCAAAGAAAAATCCAGCTGTGTAGCCAGGCGGTGGTGGCGCACGCCTTTAATCCCAGCACTCGGGAGGCAGAGGCAGGCAGATCTCTGTGAGTTCGAGGCTGGGCTGGACCGACAGCCTCGAAAACAATACAGAGAAATCCTGTCTCGTAAAAACCAATAAAAAAACAAAAAAACAAAAATCCAGCTGTGTGACCCAAGTAAGTGTCTCAACCACTCTGGGCCTATTTCTTCTTCTGTAAAATGGGAACAAACACACACTTCAGCTCGCAGACTGTGGCGTGAGCCCCTGGCACACACTGCCATGCTCCAGGCTGAATCCTCTAGACAGGTTCCCTCGCCGGGACCTTCAACCAACGCTGCTGTGCACACCCTGTCGTGCGTGTCTAGAGAGCACCGTCAGGGTTCAGGCTGGGGCTTGGGACACAGGGGGGAAGACAGATGCCTACCTCAGAGCCAGCTTGTAGTTTGATGGGGAGATCTCCTATAAACCAAGAAAACAATAGAAACTGGGAATATTACAGATGAGCAAAATGGTTTCCTTTGGGCATGGAGCCTTGGGCCAGAGAGACGCAGACAAGCTAAGCCTGAGCCATGCGACACACTGGATGCGGTGCTGTACACCTCGGGGTCCTCGTGGGGATTAGGCTCAACCATGAAGTGAAGGTGCTCACTGTACCCGGCGTGGCTTGATAAGAGCTAACTGTTGTGTGGGGCTTGCTGGGAACCGGGCACCATGCCCAGCCCCTTCCCTATTATCTCAGAATGCACTGAGGAAACCCTGATAGAGTCCTGTATTTAACCCCATTTCATAACTAGGGACCCAGAGCGGTTGGTACACAAGGCCATAGGTCAGGAAATGTGGCTCAGAGTGCAAACCCAGGTGTGTACTGTGTGGCACTTCAACTACTGGGCTGTCGGCACCCTCCTCCTCACCACCATCATCACCGTTTATTAAAAACGAGGCAGTTTAATACTTCACTGACATTTGTCCTTAAGAGCTGAAACTGACTGGGTTAACGGTGGCGAACGCTTTTAATCCCAGCACTCGGGAGGCAAAGGCAGGTGGATCTCTGTGGGTTCGAGGCCAGCCTGGTCTACAGAGCGAGTTCCAGATCAATCAAGGTTACATAGAGAGACCCTGACTTGAAAAACAAACACAAGAACCAAAAAAGAGCTGAAACTCTGTCCCCAGGCCTCTATGTCCCTCTTGGTGACAGCAACCTCACTGGCATCAGGGTGGGGACCCATCTGAGCCAAGGCCTAGGGATCCCTTGGTCCACTCCTCAGTGTGGCAGCTGCTGGGCGGCCTGAATAAGGCAGCGGAGAAGGGGCTCTGTGACTTCCTCACTGGAACTCACTTATAAGCACTGTTCACTCTCTCCAGACCTCTTTCCAACCCAACAGTTCTGGGGTGCTTTCCCCAGGGGCCATTTGGGTGGCATTCAGCAGCTGAATCAGGAGACAGGCTAGAAATCCAGGCTGACTGCCCCTTCCACCTGCACAACCTGGTTTCCACTCTCAGGGTCCCCAGGGCCCGCCTCCTGGACAAGACAGGACAGATGCTACCAGGGTAATCGCCACCCTCATTCCCACAGCCCACAGCCACTCCCACAATGCCACCCTTACCTTCCCGAAAGACAGTTCCCCAGACCAGCACAGCCTACAACCCAGCCAGGACCAACATGGAATCACAGGCCACTAGATCAGCTTCCGCCACCAGGGCCTGGCCCCTCCTCCCTGTTAAAGGGCCAGTTCCTGGTTCTGGGGTCTCAGTGAAGACTCGAGACAAAACAGCCAAGAGGGACTCATGGGGTTACTCGACCCTCGCCTTCCTCTTCAAGCAGCTCCTGGCTCATGAATGGCCTGGGCTCATCTGGCAGATGGGGAAATGGAGGCTCAGCAAGGGAAGTATCCAGCCCCAGGGGCTGGCCAGCAAGATGTAGAAGGAGCCTCTCACCGTGGACCACCTTCATATAACACAGCCACTCTAGATCTGACGTGTCCAGAGCTGTCTTCAGCTCAGGCCACTTTCCCCAGACCACACTGGGGTCAGCTCAGGTTTGAGACAAGAAAACAAAGATGCAGGGCAGGCATTAAAGGTGGCACGCGCCTTTAATGCCTGCACCCAGGAGGCAGAGGCAGGAGGAACTCTGTAAGTTCAAGGCCAGCCTGGTCTATAGACCAAGTTCCAGGACACTTGGGGCTACATAGAGAGACCCTGTCTTAAAAATAAAATGATAAAATAAAAGGAAGATAGAAAGAAGGCAAGGGGAGCTGGCAGCCATCCTGACATCCTGTCTGGACAGGAAGGGCGACTCTCACGTCAGTCACATCTCCATCTCCGCTACTTCACAGCCAGCAGAAGAAGCCTGGCTGCTATTTACTGTTCATAGCAATGGCTGCTCATTCTTTCACGCATTCAGTAAATAAATATTTGCCAGACACCTACCACCTGCCAAGACCTGAGGCCTTTAACCTCAAACACGATAGCGTGTCCCCTGCTCTGTCCCAGCGATCAGGATGCCCGTGCTGTGGGATGTTGGGAGCCCACGCAGGTGTGGAATGAGGGTGGGAGTTGAAAACCACGCTGAATTCTAGAGTCGCAGAAGGACTTAGAAGAGTCTGGGAGAAGGCTCTGAAGAGAAGGCTCTGGGTAAATGCTCCCCATGCAAGCATGAAGACCCAGGTTGGCTCTCCAGCACCCATGAAGAAGAGTCGGACTCTTGTGTCTCCTCTGTCCCCATCTCATTGAGCAACGCTGAGACCCAGGGCCTCATCCATCTTGAGCCTCAGTTTCCCCAAATACAAAATGAGAGGCAAGATTCAGGAAGGACCAGACAACATAGGTGTCCCTTGGGCAAGTGTGACCTCTCCTCTCCCATGATTAACCCCTGGCTACCTGGGGTCAGGTGGGGCTGCTTAGCCATGATCTGTGGCTGGGACCCTGCCCAACTCACCTTTGCCCTCACATTAACCCCTCCCCCATCACTATCAAGTGCCCAATCTCACAGGAGGCACTGAGGACCCAAAAAGAACAGGCAGCAGAAGGTCTTGCAGTGGCTGTAATGTCGGATCTGGAGAAGGCTTCCTGGTAGAGGAATACATACCTCAGTTGTAGACAAGAAGATGCATTTATTACATGCCTGTGGTGTACCAACCACATACTCTCAAGGTTCTCATCACCAGAACTGGGAATGGAACCCAGGGCTTTGCACAAATCAGCTAAGCTCTCTACCACAGGCCCCTAAGAATGAAGTCTCTTTTTTTAATATTTATTTATTATGTATACAGCATTCTGGCATGTTTACACCAAATCTCATTATAGATGGTTGTGAGCCACCATGTGGTTGCTGGGAATTGAACTCAGGACCTTAGGAAAAGCAGCCAGTGCTCTTAACCTCTGAGCCATCTCTCCAGCCCCCCAGAATGAAGTCTCTTTAGTTTTTCTTGCAATAGGATCTTGGGTAGTCCAGGCTAGCCTTAAACTTGTTATGTAAATGAAGATGACACTGGACATCTTATCATCGCCTCCACCATCCAAGTGCTAGGATTACAGCTGCACACCCATGCATGGGAATACACACACACACACACACACACACACACACACACCACACGATGGGGGGAGGGGGGAATACACACTGGCTAAGTGGTTAAGAGCTCTTGCTACCCTGAAGACTCAAGTTCAGTTCCCAGCACCTACATCAGGTGGCTCACAACGGCCTGTAACTCCAGCATGTCTGATGCCTCCATGGGTGCCTGCATGCACTTTATGCAACCCCACAATTAAATTAAATACACACAATTAAAAATAATAAGCCATTGCCAGGAAGTGGTGGGGCACACCTTTAATCCTAGCACTCAGGAAGCAGAGGCAGGCAGATCTCTGTGAGTATGAGGCCAGCCTGGTCTACAGAGTGAGCTTCAGGACAGCCACGGCTACATAGGGAAACCATTTCAAAAATCCAAAATAATAATAATAATAATAATTCCTTTTTTTGCTTGCTTGTTTTTTTAAAGATTTATTTATTTATTTATTATGAATACAACATCCTGCCTCCATGTCTGCCTGCAGGCCAGAAGAGGACACCAGATCTCATTACAGATGGCTGTGAGCCACCATGTGGTTGCTGGGAATTGAACTCAGGTCCTCTGAAAGAGCAGTCAGTGCTCTTAACCTCTGAGCCATCTCTCCAGCCCCTGCTTGCTTGTTTTGCTTTGTTTTTTGAGACAGGGTCTCACTACGTAGCCCTGCATGGCTTAGAACGCACTATGTAGCCCAGGCTGGCCTTGAACTCATAGAGATCCTCCTGCCTCTGCCTCTGAGTACTGGGATTCAAAGTGTCTGCCACTGTGCTGAACTACGCCTTTTCTGAAAGAAAATTCATTAATAGGTACAAGCCAAGTGCTGGCATGCTTGCAATCTCAGCACTCTAGAGACTGAGGCAGGAGGATTGCCATGAATTCAACAGTAAGACTATCTCAGAACAAAAACAAACAAAAAGATAAATAGGGCTGTTGAGATGGTTTGCCAGGTGAGAACACTCGTCACCAAACTGATGGCCTGAGTTCAGTTCCCAGGACCCACATGGTAGAAGAGAACTGATACCAAAACATTGAACTCTGACCTCCACACATATGCTGTGGCATGCATGTGTATCAACACGCACACACAGAGAATAAATAAATGTAATTCTAAACTTTTTAATGAAAACAGAGAAATGAAAGAAAGCAAAATAGGCCCAGGGCTCCTATGTGGGAAGTCGTGCAATCAGTATGCAGAACACAGATCCTGGAGCCGGGCTCTGCTGCGCATAACAGCACCGCTTCCTGGCTGAGGAACCCTAGGCAGGTCACTCAGCCTCTCTGTGCCTGGTTTGCACTGCTGTGGGGAGGGACACGAGGCTCCTGTCCCGGCAGGGCAGATGTGAGTGAGACACTGGGGCATACAGCTGGTGCTCCGAGCTCATTCCTATGGTTGTAAAAGAAGTCATCTGAGAATACAGCAAAAGTTGCAAAGAAGCCCATGACGTCATTCCGTCACAAAATGTACAACTACCCCAACAACGACCAAATAATTCCAGTGATCCCTGCGCCGAGAAACGAAGTCATTTGCACAGGGTTGCATGGCAGGGGCAGAACCGGAGGCTGTATCACAGAGGGGCCGGGCTCCACAGCTGCTGGCTGGCCCTTGGGAGAGGATGGGCTTGGAAGGCTAACAGGGTGTGTGTGGTGGTGGGGGTGATGCTATGTTTGTCAGCTAGCTCCTGTCCCTGACACCTCAGGCCACCAGCCAGTTGCTCATTAACCCTCATTTCACCACCCCAGCCCCAGCTGTGCATCCTGTCCCCAGGACAAAGGGACCTTTCCGCTGAGGTAGGTCGAATATCTGACACTTGCCAACCACTCTCTATCACAAGCCTTACCTCATACTCTCCCTTGCATGACTTTCTGAGCCACTAGGTGGGACTAGGGACCTGGAAGGTGAAGTCACTAGTGCAGCCAGTGAGCAGAGACTGAGAGCAAAGAAACCCAGGTCTTCCGACACACAACGCAGTGTGGCTTGGCCAAGTTCAAAGACTTCCTATCCCTGACCAACAGATTTGATCATTGCAGAATTGAGACTATGACTTTAGGGCTTTATTTCCGTCAGCCGAGCTAAGCTATCCCATCTTCTGGGGAAAGTCACAGTCCTGTGGTCACCCTGTCCTCCCACCCTGTTGCTACCCAGCAACCAACCATCACAACTCATTTGCCCAGAACAAGGGAAGGTTTTAGGTGCAAAAAGCTAAAATGACTAGTTGGGTCACCGGGCACAGAGACCAGCGACCAAGCTTCAAGGGACATTCAACCTGCGTACACCTTAAAAATCCATAGCTAAAATTCATAGCAGGACTTAAAAATTCATAGCTAAAGCCAGGTGTTGGTGGCGCACGCCTTTAATCCCAGCACTCGGGAGGCAGAGGCAGGCGGATCCCTGTGAGTTCGAGACCAGCCTGGTCTACAGAGTGAGTTCCAGGACAGCCTCCAAAGCCACAGAGAAACCCTGTCTCGAAAAACTAAAAAAAAAAAAAAAAAAAAAAAAAAAAATTCATAGCTAAGCACCAGGTACGGTGGTGAGTGCTTGTAACCCCAACACTGGGGAGGTGGAGGCAGGACAATCAGAAGATAATGCACATTCTTGACTACAAAGGAAATTCAAGGCCAGCCTGGGCTGCAGGAGAACAAACAAACAAACTCATAGCTAATCTGGGCAGGATACCTCTAGTCCCAGTAGTTGGGAGACTAAAGCAGGAGAATGAAGAGTTCAAGACCGGCCTGGGCTACATTGTGAGATACCCATCTCATAGAACAAAACGCCTTGGGCTTCAGAGAAACAGAAAGAGCTCGTGACAGAGATAAAAACATAGGTGTTGGGAGTGGGGGGTGAGGATGGGAAGAGGCCTTGACACTGCTATCCAACACCCCTGACAGGATGCCTTGGGCTAGAGGCACAGAAGGTTCCTACATAACTCAATAGTTACCACACAAGTTGCTTTGGCTCCTGTTTTTGTTGCAACCCGTAAAAGAAAAAAAAATCTTGTCAAATTAAGCACTGTATGTGCACTTGGGGCATGAGGGTTCTTTTTGGTTTTTGTTTGTTTGTTTGGTTGGTTGGTTGGTTGGTTGGTTTTGCTACAGACCTCTTCACTTGCCAATAAGATGTGGCCACCTCTCTCTGAGGGTCTCTCAGGGAGTTGGATTTGGCCAGCTCCCATGTCCAGCATGGGTCACTACAGGTAATGATAATCCCGGGGAGAGGCTATTGCCAGGTCCTGACCTTGGCTTTGTGACTGATTTTACACATCAGGGATCAGCAAAGACTGTTTGTCACTAGGAATGACGCACAGTGGGAGTCAGCAACAGGCAGGGCCACCAGGAAACCCAAGAGGGTTCTGGGAGCTCCCCCAACCCCCATCCAGCAGGGTTGCAGCAGGTAACACAGTGAATGAGCCCAGTGGCTGCCAAGTCCTTAGCTGGAACCACAGAGGTTGGACACAGAGTCCAAACAAGAAAGGCTCAATGTTTGAGCAGATTCTTTTCTTTTTTTTTTTTTTGGTTTTTCGAGACAGGGTTTCTCTGTGGCTTTGGAGGCTTGTCCTGGAACTCGCTTGGTAGTCCAGGCTGGTATCGAACTCACAGGGATCCGCCTGCCTCTGCCTCCCGAGTGCTGGGATTAAAGGTGTGCGCCACCAATGCCCGGCTTCTTTTCTCTTTTTTTTAACATTAAAAAAACTGTTTTAGGGCTGGAGAGATGGCTCAGTGGTTAAGAGCACTGACTGCTCTTCCAGAGGACCCAGGTTCAATTCCCAGCACCCGCATGGCAGCTCACAACACTCTGTAACTCCAGTTCCAGGACAGCCAGTTCTGTTACACAAAGAAACCCTGTCTTGAAAAACCAAAAAAGGGGCCTGGAGAGATGACTCAGAGGTTAAGAGCACTGGTTGCATATGGTGGCTCACAACCATCTATAGTGAGATTTGGTGCCCTCTTCTGGCATCCAAGGCTGAATGCTCTATACATAATAAATAAATCTTTAAAAAAAAAAAAAAAGAGCACTGGTTGCTCTTCCAGAGGTCCTGAGTTCAATTCTCAGCAACCACATGATAGCTCACAATCATTTGTAATGAGATCTGATGCCCTCTTCTGGCCTGCAGTGATACATGCAAACAGAACACTGTACACATAATATTGGGGAGGGAGGGGGAACTGGAATTAATATATAAAAATAATAAGAAAGAAGGATTTCTTCAACTACTTAGTGAGTTGGAGGCCAGCCTGGGTTACATGAGACCCTGACTCAAATTTAATCTAAAAGATGAAGTCTAGATCCTCTGGGTGTATCCAAACTGCTCAGCCCACTTTGCCTTTCCCCAGTCCAACCCTCTCCATCAGCTCTGAGCTCCCTAAAGACTGAATGCCCAAGACATCATTTTCCAAGTTAGCTTTTGCCCTGATGACTCTCAGGGAATGCCATCCTCCAGGCCTGTCCTCACCTACAACATGGGATAAAGGAAGCCCATACACCTGTTCTTAACACACACCTCCACAGAGGAGATAACCCCACTGCATGGGAGCAGAACCCCACTGCATGGGAGCAGAACCCCACTGCATGGGAGCAGAACCCCACTGCATGGGAGCAGAACGTCACTTCTCTGGCAATCGGTCGCCGGCACAGAGAGACACAAGATGGCTATATCCACACAAGGGCTTTGTGGTGTCCATGTCAGCCCAGCTTGCCTGTCTCATGTCCTTGACCCACACCCTGTGGTCATCCCTGTTGGGGGGTGATCAGAGGGAGCAACGACAACACACAACTTGTTCTGCCTGGGGTGGGGTGGGGTGCCTGGGCAAGCCAACTGTGCCATTGCCAAACTGTGTTCATCTGTATTCTCTGCCCAGCCAGTGGGGCAAGAGAGCTTTCTTGGGGAGGCCAGAGAAAGAAGCAGTCAGGCCATTTGCCTTGGAGTAGAGCTGGAAGAGTTTTTAGATGTAAGACGCCCCAGATCTAGGTCATGGTAGTGATGGTGGTGTTGATGGTGATGATGATGATGGTGACGGTGACTATAGTAAAGACAGTAAGTAGTGATGATGATGGTGGTGGTGATGATGGTGTCAATAGTGATTGTGGTGATGGTGAGGATGATGAAGGCTACTAACACACACTGGCTGCCTGTCAATTTCATGTCTGTCATCTAACACTCATTCGCATCACCAAAGACTGGCACAGAGGTCTGGGGGTCATCCCCATTTACAAAAGAACAAACAGAGGCTGTGGGAGACCAAGGCTCTTGCCCAGAACCTTATCTAGTAACAGCAGAGCCTGGACCTGAACCCAATCCCCTGGGTCTTACCCATCTGCCCTTTTATATGCAGAGTCCCTAGAGGATGGCAGTAAGCAGCTCTGTCAGTCACCGGGTTGGGAGTCCTGTCCATGTACCACCTCTCACTATCTCTGTGACCCGAGTGAGCCTCATTTCCACTCTACGAACCTCTTTTATGGTTCGACACTAATTTGAGTTGTGTGTCCGTCCCCCTTCTGTTCCTCCCCCCCCCCCCCACCTCGTCCTCCATTTCTATTTAGAAACAAGATCTCACTCTTTAGTCCAGGCTGACCTCAAACTCGTAGTTCTCCTGTCTCCACCTCTGCTGTTCTGGGATGGCAGGTGTGAGCCACCATGCGGCTGGGTTGTGGCTATTTCTTGGCCATATACTGGTGTCCAGCAACTGTCTTTTCTGTTGTTGTGGGATGGACCCCAGGGCCCCGGCAAGGGCTCTTTAGTGCTACCTCATCCCCACCCCCCCAGGTCCTACAGGCCCTTGAGAGATAAGTGTCTTCATTTGCTAGTGAAGAAACCAGGAGGAAAGTGGAAGTGGACAGAGATTGAGGGGCAGGATGGAGACCAGACCTGAGAGCCCTCCCCGGCCACCACGGCGGCGGACCGGACCAGGGGGCGTGGCTTTGGGGGCGTGGCCTGCCTGGGCCCTTATTGGCTGCCCCGAGGTTTCTCCAGAGAATAAAGCCCTGGAGCGAAGCAGCCTGCCAACCTCCTACTCTCCCAGGACGCAGACAGAAACTACCTCTCTCGCTCGCTCGCTTTGTCCAGCAACTTCTGTGCCGGGTATGTGACCCCAGCCTCAGCCTAACCCCAGGACTGACAGCCAGAGATAGCCAGAGTTGGGTCCCCAGGGAAGGTGAGAGGGGCTGGGGCACATCCAGTTCAAGTCTCCGTGTTCTGATCTGTAAATTGGGACGATGGTGGGACCCTCTAGCTCAGGATGCCACCAGGGTGAAATGTGACAGGCTGGGTTTATTGAGTGTCATGTGAGCCAAATGACAAGGGAGGGACCCACACCAGCTACATTTGCCAAGACCCTCACCCTATGCCTTTTCCTCTCGAGCCTCACCGTCTATGGAGCCGGGTGGGACTGGCCTCTGGGGTGGGAATCAGGGCGTAGTATCATTTTTCCAAAGGTCTCCGATGTTGCAGCCTGGGACAGGGACCAGGTGGGGCTTCTCAAAGTCACCTGGAAGGGGTCTACATGGTGGGTGGGTACCACCCACCAGCCAGAGGTGCATCAGCTGGGCCTTTTAGATGCAGAGGAGGCCCACTGTGTCAGGATGGGACCTAGCTGAAAGATAAGGCGAACAAATTTGGAGATACCCTTGGTTGGCATGCCCTTCTTCCCTGACTCATTCAAGAGGTCTACTAGAAAGAGGGGCTAGTTGGCTTGCCTGTAATCTCAGCACGTGAGAAGCAGGAGAATCCCAATGAATTTGAGTCCATCTCTCTTGACACTGAGGCAGGAGGATCACAACAAGTGCCAATCTCTCATACACGCACAGGAGCCCACACATATACACACAAATGCACACATGCATGTACACATGAGCACTCATATATGTAGACGCTCACAAGAGTCACTATTTGCCTAGGCTTGATCCTACTTGACCCTAGATCTCTCTTAGGGACTCTCACAGGGCTGCAAGGTGACAGTGGCTGAGCCAGTGTTAACCCAAAGACTTCCTCACTATCATGGCTAAGAAAGGGACCTCATGGTGACGTTAACTAAACCTGAGCATGTCATGTAGCCTGGAAAGGCTTCCTCTCAATGCGGGAACTGTGTGATGAAAGGGAACCAGGGCTCTGTGTTGCTCTCTGATCCCCAAGCCAGGAAAAAAATCTATAACCTATTTGTAAAAAACTGAGAGCCACCAGATGGTGGTGGATCACAACTTTAATCCCAGCGCTTGGGAGGCAGAGACAGGTGAATCTCTGAGCTGGGGGAACAGTCTGGTCTACAAAGTGAGTTCCAGGATGGCCAGGGCTACACAGAGAAACTCTGTTGGGGGGGGGGAAGAGAGGAGAGAGAGGGGGGGGTGTCTTTTACTTTTGTTTGGAGATAGGGTCTTATGTAGTCAAGCATGGCCTTGAATGCCTAATTCTCTTGCTTTCACCTCCCAAGTACCAGGACACCATGCCTGGTGTCCAACACACACACACACACACACACACACACACACACACACACACATACACACACGCATTCTGATTCAGCTTGTGCAAGACCCTTCCCCTGTTCTTGCTCAAGTCTGCAGCCTAAGGGTGTTTGTGCAAGACCCTTCCCCTGTTCTTGCTCAAGTCTGCAGCCTAAGGATGTTTGTGCAAGAGCCTTCTCCTGCCACTTGAGGAAGTTTCTAAGCTCATAATCTTCCAACTTTTGTGGCAAGGTGAGGGCCCAGCTGAGATTATTCTGTGCCCTTTCCTTATCATCGTGGGTATGAAGGAGGGGTCATAGAGCTTAGGAGGGCATCTGTCTTGACCCTTTGCATCTCCTCCCTGCCTCCCAGCCATGGCGGCCCAGGATCCTCTCCATGTGAAGACCCCACTTCGTGACAGCATGGCCCTGTCTAAAGTGGCTGGCACCAGTGTGTACCTAAAGATGGACAGCTCCCAGCCCTCGGGTTCCTTCAAGATCCGAGGCATTGGGCACCTCTGCAAGACGGTACAGGGCAGGGTATCATCCTGGCAGGAAGGGCACTCCCTCCTACCTGACAGTTCTGGAGCCAGGTGTGCAGATGTACAACCAAGATTTCAACACTCAGGAAACTGAGGCAAGAGGGTGGAAAGCGCCGCATAGCAAGACCCAGTTTCTAATCATCATCGTCATCCCAAGGGCTGGCGTTTAGAAGGCTCAGCAGCTAAGAACACTGGCTGTTCTTGCAGAGAGCCTGAGTTCAGATCCAAGCTTACAATGGTGGCTTACAATTACCTGTAACTCCAGTCTCAGGGGATTTGACACCCTCTACTGGTCTCCAAGAGCAATTACACTCGTGTGCACATAATTTAAAAAGAAATAAATATTGGGAGGGAGAGATAGCTAAGCAGTTAGGAACACTTGGGGTTCTTTCAGAGGAACCATGCTCACTCTCAGTTGGTGGCTCACCTGCAACTCCAGCTCCAGCTCATCTGATGCTCTCTTCTGCCCCCTGCAGGCAACACGTGCACACCTATGCATAAATAAATAATGAAATCTCAAATAAACAAGTACTAAAAAGAAAATGAGTTTAGAACAGGCTACACACATCAGGGTTCCCTTTGGCTAAGGGGTGCTACCCCATGAGAGTCCCTCAAGACTGACACCTGCCCCCTTACCCCAGCTAGTCTCCTTGGGGAAGACGCGTCTGAGGGAGGGTGGTTCAGATACCAAGAGGAGAAAGGTGGATTTAGTGTGGACTGAAGATGTTCCAGTGGGAGGGATGAGCCTAGGCAGGGACCGAGAGGTAGCGTGGCCCCTCCTCTTGTCTCCACAGAAGGCAGAAGAAGGCTGTAAACATTTTGTCTGCTCTTCAGGTAAGTAGCCAAGAGGCCTTCTTTCCCCTCCTATCCTGAGACCAGGCACATCACCTCCCTGGGTCTTGGTCTCTGCAGCAATGAACCATTCATAGAAGTCCAGATTTTGGGTTCCAGAGTGAGGCAGAGGTCACTTGGGAGGAGAGGGGAGTCCAGGCCGGACAGGAAAGAAATGGTCAGCCCCAGACTCTCCTTACTGACACCCTCCATTGTCACCCTGACAGCGGGCAATGCAGGCATGGCAACTGCCTACGCGGCCAGGAGGCTGGGCATCCCGGCCACTATCGTGGTGCCCAGCACCACACCTGCCCTCACCATCGAGCGGCTTAAGAATGAGGGCGCCACAGTTGAGGTGGTGGGAGAGGTGAGTGTGGACCGGCAGGTGGCGGGGCTGAGGGCTCCTGACAGCGGGAGAATCGCTTCATCCTCTCCCTGCTCCCGTCGCCCTGCAGATGTTGGATGAGGCCATCCAGCTGGCCAAGGCTCTGGAAAAGAACAACCCAGGCTGGGTGTACATCCCCCCCTTCGACGATCCCCTCATCTGGTAAGGTGGGGCCACCTCACTCTTCACTGCACGTGTCTGCCATAATGCGTGATGCCTGCCGATTCTCCGTGCCGCACACCCAGTGTGTGCAGGAGAGAACACACAAACGCCCAGATGCACGCATCAGCGATGGGGGGAGGGGCGTCTCCAGATACAGAGTTGGGGATATCAGCTCGTCTGGGGGTGACCAGGAACAAATAAGTGGGGACGCACTGATGAAGGTAGACCTCATGTGATAGCATCTGCCGTGGGCGACTGAGCCTCAGCTCCTGGGGACCCTGAAAGTCTGTGGGGAATGGGCATCCAGGGAACGTGTCCACTGATGGGTAGGAAGGGGACGTTTATCCACCCACTCCCACAGCCATCCTCTTCAGGGCGTGGTGGTCATGTCCCTACACAGTCAGTGTCCTGTGAGACCATGGCTGGGCAGGGACCCGCTGAGCTTCACCACTGCCTGAGATGGAAACAAACACAGACCATAGTTGGCATTTTCAACCATCCATTGTGTCTTCAGGAAGCCCAGCCCTGACCTACCACCCTTCTCCTGCCCAGGGAAGGCCATACTTCCATCGTGAAGGAACTGAAGGAGACACTGAGTGCCAAGCCTGGAGCCATTGTGCTATCAGTGGGCGGTGGGGGCCTGCTGTGCGGAGTGGTCCAGGGGCTGAAAGAGGTGGGCTGGGAGGATGTGCCCATCATTGCCATGGAGACCCTTGGCGCCCACAGCTTCCATGCTGCCATCAAGGAAGGAAAGCTGGTCACCCTGCCCAAGATCACCAGGTGAGCCTAGGCACCTTCCTGGGATACACACAGTGGAAAAAGAGGCTTTGGTCATTTGCCCAAAGTCACACAGGCATGAGTGTGGTAAAACTGGGCCTTGAACAGGCGACTTTATGTGAATGGTAGGTAATGTCCATCACTTCTTGAGGTCTTCATGCCTCTCTTCCTCTTCCTTTTCAAGACAGGGTTTCTCTGTATTGTTTTGGAGGCTGTCCTGGAACTTGCTCTGTAGACCAGGCTGGCCTCGAACTCACAGAGATCCGCCTGCCTCTGCCTCCCGAGTGCTGGGATTAAAGGTGTGCGCCACCAACGCCCAGCATGCCTCACTTCTTTGCTGGCTACTTTTCTGGCCTCCAAGATGTGCAAGACCCTGGCTGACCTGGGGGGGGGACCTTCTTGCCTGCAAAGAATTTATAATCAAACCCCAACTTTGCAGCTTAAACAAAATTGAAAAGAGAGAGAGCACACTAGGAGCAAGTCCTTGGAGCTGCGGACCAAGTTCCTTGTGTCTGTTGTCTCACTGCTCTGAGTATGTCGACCTAGAGTCCAAAGTGGCTGCTTCTGTGCCAGCCACCGCACCCACACTCCACCTGAAAACAGGAGGAGAGTGCAGAAGGAGCATCTAAACTTTAAAGACAAAGTGGAGCTGCTCCTCCACCGACAGCAGGGTCACACCCAGGCAAACCCATCATTAGAGCTGAAATTGTTGTGAATGAATTGAACCTGGTCTGCCTTATCTAAGATGTTTGGCACACAGTGCTCTCATAGACCAACCCTCGGCAATCAGAGTTGTCTGTACTTCCTCTTATTGCCCACTGGGCAGAACTTGGTCACACGGCCACACCTAGCTGCAAGGCAGGCTGGAAGAAGTTTACACTAGGTATCCTAGAAGCGATTTCTGTGGAGATGACAGTTTCTGTCACGGGTAGGGAAGGATGAATCAGGAAAGGGATCCTTCCAGATTTCTGGGAATGACGTCACTGCCAGGACTGGTGTCCTGATACACTATTCTTTTTTTTTTTTTTTTTTTTTGGTTTTACGAGACAGGGTTTCTCTGTTTTGGAGGCTGTCGGTCCAGCCTGGCCTCGAACTCACAGAGATCCGCCTGCCTCTGCCTCCCGAGTGCTGGGATTAAAGGCGTGCGCCACCAACGCCCGGCCTGATACACTATTCTTTCCTTCCAGATGGAGTATGGGTGCAGTAGCTAGCACTCAAGCAGCCATCTTGAACCCTAAGTTAATGTGAACTTGGGGCATCTACTGCCCCATTTTTGTTCCTGGTTTTCCTTCTATAAAACTGAGTTTGGGGGCTGGAGAGATGACTCAGAAGAGCACTGATTGCTCTTTCAGAGGACCTGAGTTTAAGTACCAGCAACCACATGGTGGCTCACAACCACCTATAATAAGATTTAGTGCCCTCTTCTGGTATGCAGACATACATGCAGGCAGAACACTATACACAATAAATACATCTTTTAAAAAAACAACCTGAGTTTGGGAAGTGTGTGGTACCTGATAATTTAGTAAGGACTAGCTTTCCCTATTTGTTAGGATGGGGGTGCTATTTTAGGACCTCAAACTGTGGGACTGAGGAGTCCTGGAAGGCTCCCTGGAAGAGGAGGCCTTCATCTCGAGCCTGGCAGGTTGGGGCAGGAGGCATGTGAGCAAAGTAGGTGGAGGTTACAAGCTGGGGGCAGGGCATTCTGCGTCAGGCCAGCCTGAGACCACTACAGGTTCCCCGGGCTGGGCAGGGGTTGCCCATTCCCACCGCTCACCTGTAACTCCTGCCTTGTCTTCCCTTCCTGTGCCTGCTTCCCTTCCTCTCCCCACTCCCACCTCCCAGTGTTGCCAAGGCTTTGGGTGTGAACACTGTGGCAGCCCAGACCTTGAAGCTGTTTTACGAACACCCCATCTTCTCTGAGGTCATCTCAGATCGGGAGGCTGTGGCCGCCATCGAGAAGTTCGTGGGTATGTACGGACTCAATTTTCTCCCCCCTCAGCCTAGAATGCCTCGTGAATGGAGGCTAAAGTAAGTCAGTGGTAAAAAGAAAACACTAATGCCACTCATGAGAGAGCCCGTATCTGCTTCCATCAGCTCCTGGATGAAGCCTCTCTGACAACAATTAGGACAGTCACCACTCTGATTACAGTAGATGGTCAGTTCAGGCACCCTCTCCACTATTGCCAGGAGTCTTAGTTGGGGCCATCCTTGTGGATTCCTGGGAGCCAAGCACTAGGCCGAGCTCTGGGAGTCCTGCTGAAGAGAGAAAGGATTGTAGAGCCCAGGGGATCACCGACTATGAGCCTGCATGGGATGAACCTAGTCTCTCTGCATGTTTGTGACAATTCTGTAGTTTGGTCTGTTTGTGGGGTGAGATCAGCACCTGTCCCTGGCACTTATGTGGCTTTTGGGAACCCAATCCTCATGCTGGGCTGCATCACTCAGCTTTGATGCAGGGGGAGCTCGGTCCTGTCCCAACTTGATGTGCCATGTTTGCTGACTCCCGTGGGAGGTCTGCCTCTTCTGAATGGAGGCAGAGGAGTCAAAGGGGATGGGGATAGAAGGAGGTGGAGAGAGGGAACACGAGGAGAGGAGGGAAGGGGGAACTGTGGTCAGTATGTAAAAAGATGAGAAATTTTTTAATTAAAAAAAAAAAAAAGCTGGGCAGTTGGCACATGCTTTTAACTGCAGCACTCGGGAGGCAGAGGCAGGCAAGGCAGATCTCTGAGTTTGAGGCCAGCCTGGGCTACAGAGCTAGTTCCAGGATGTCCAAGGCTACACAGAGGGAAATCCAGTTGGAGGGGAAAAAAAGGCCATAAAGGATGAACAGTAGCACACATTGCCAGGTGTTAATAACTGCAGCTTACACCACACACCCAGGCTCCTTCGAAACTCTCGGATGCCTGAGAGCTCAGCACAGGCTAAAGAGACCAGGCTGGGTTCAGTCTTAGTGCTCCCGGCCACGGTGAGAGTTTTGGCCCAAGACCTAATGGTGCTGAGGGCTGAGCAGCCCCTTCCCACAGATGACGAGAAGATCCTGGTGGAGCCCGCGTGCGGCGCGGCACTGGCCGCAGTGTACAGTGGAGTGGTGCGCAGGCTGCAGGAGGAGGGCCGGCTGCCAGGCTCACTGGCCTCCCTGGTCGTTGTCGTGTGCGGAGGCAGTAACATCAGCCTGGCCCAGCTGCAGGCACTCAAGGCGCAGCTGGGCCTGAATGGACTGCCCAAGTGATGACCGTGGCTGTCCTGGTCACCCTGAGAGGGGACACCAGCACCCCTGAGTAGTGTGGGCAGGGAATGCACCTGGCAGTGGTCCCACCCTCCTTTACCCATGTTTATAATGTGTACTTTTTCACTGTAAATAAATATAAATATATATATTTATAAAGCAAAGCCTTTTGAGTTTTGTTCTTTTGTGACACAGGGCTTATGTGCAGCCCAGGCTGGCCTCAAGCTGGAGGTCCTACTTTGGCCTCCTGAGTGCTGCGATGACAGGCATTAGCCACATCTCCCAGAGGAGCGCTGCTCCCCACACATAAGCTAGTCACTTGGGTCTCCCAGGGGCCCACACATTCATAAACCTTGAGAGGCCCTAGGGTAGGGGCAAAGCAGCGGGGGAGGCATAGGCAAGGCCACTGTATTCTAACATGAAGTCCCTACTGACGGGACAAGGACATCCTGAAACACTAGCAGCCCCACCCATGTGCATGAAAACCAACCCTGTACTCTTGTCTGCAAGACAGGGAAGGTGAAGTGAATTTGACCTTTGTGTCAAACCCCCGGCCCCAATAAAACTCCTGACAGACACTGGGCTGGCTGGAACAGAGCCACTCACACCCTCAGGACCCAGGGGTGCTGACTGGATCAGGTCTTTCACTCCACAGCATAGCAGGGCTCCAGGATTCTATGAGACCATGGCTAGTCTACATTAATGCAGTTAACTCTTGTGCAGTTAAACTTTTATGCACGCCACAGAGGGACATTCCTAGCAAGGCTCAGGCACTGAGGGTTCAATGAGCATCTACTGCACCACAGCCATCACTGCAGGGGTCCTTGACATATTCCAGGGAGTGCAGCTCACATCTGGCAGGACCCCACCAACAGATGAGGTAGGAACAGGATTAGAGCCCCGACCTCTGGCTCCCAGGCTGTGAGCTCTGTGCCCCACAGCAGGGCAGCCTGTGAGACCACACAGGGAGGACTCGGGTTCTTGTGGGTCTCTGGGACTCAGAAGACTCAGGGTCTGGGTGGTTAGCAGGGCAGGCCAGACTAGGACCCAGATATACCATGTGAGATGGATGCTGAGCAGAAGGGTGGATGGGCAGAGAGAAAACGGACAAGTGGACATATAGGGAGGAACAGACAAGTGAACAGAGACAGACTGGTGGACTGACAGGTGAAAAACAGACAACAGACATGGCGGCCCACACATGGAAATCCAGCACATGCGGTGAAGGTGCAGTGACCACAAGGTCAAGAGCAGCCTGTTACAGAGCGGAGGAGTGTGCAGTTCCGGAGGGGAGGGGAGGGCAGGGGAGGGGAGGATGAATAACAGAGTCAGTAGATGAAGGACCGGGTAGGCAGGTGGCTGGACGGATGGGTGTGTGCATGGATGGTGACACGGATGGGAGATGAATGGGTGAGTGGACAGACGGCAGGTGGCCGGCTATGCAGACAGACAGAGGGTAAGGGATTGGCACAGGAGTGGAAGGACAAATGGATGGCGAGAACAACGGACAGGCTGTGGTGCCAGACAGCCACACCTTTCACTGCTGCCTCAAGAGACACAGCAGGGGCATGGTCCCTCCTGTTTAATGGGAGTACAGCCCATGCTTTGCTTACCACTGCGTCAGGGACACCTACCAGGGAGCCAGGGGCAGGCTTGGGCTGGGGGAGAGAAGGCAGGAGTACAGGGTGGCGGTGTACCCCTCCTGCAGAAAGAACACTCAAGGCCCTCCAGCTACAAGCAGCCACAAACTTTGGTTTTTGTTTTCAAGCTTCTATCCTCAGGAAAGCTGCCCAGAGAAGGGGACACGGGCTGCTCCCTGAGGTGATGGGCCCACAGGCTTGTAGTGACAGCAATGATGAGCCCCATCAGTATCCTCCCCACGCTGAGGGACCAGCACTAGGAAAACGGCGTCCAGAACCCCACCAGGCCCACAGTCAAGCACAAGCCCCAGGCCACTGGTGACAGGGGCAGAGAGAAGGAACGATGGAGGGCGGAAGGCTCGGGGACAGAGTCAGCTCTAAGCACACAGGGTTTGTGTCCCTGAAGAAGAGACCACCCAGACCAGAGTCCAGTAAGGACAGAGCTCCAAAGGATGGGTAGCAGGTATGTGACCCTACTGGCCACACAGAATGAAGGCAACCAGGTGGAGGCAAAGACTCAGTCCCACGGGACGCTGATGGGTGAGAACGTCCAGAGATCAGGCTGGCCCATGTGCAGCACGTTGTGGAACGGCGATGTACTCCACTGGAAGGGAGGCAACTGATCCCACGTTGGGCCACTGGCTGCCAGCATGCTCATGTACTTGGCCAGTGAAAAGCTGGTCACCTGGAGGCCAGAGAGCAGGACACTGAGCTGGGTGGGCTCAAGCAGGGGCCCAACTCTCAGAGCACCATTCTGAAGCTGACCCCAGAGTAGATGTCCCCTTAGCCTTGACACGACTGCAGCCCAGGTCTGACCCTAACCCTGCACCTGTGCCATCCACCCTTCCCTCGGGTGGCAAACCTTCACATCGATGCCACCGTGGGCACGCTGGTACAGGGCCTGAAATGGGTAGGAGCCATTGGCGGGATTGAGGTCAGAGCGGGCAGAGATGGCGTTCTCCGCATTGGGCTTCGGGGTGCAGGCTTCACACAGTGACAGAGGGTCGTGAAGGAAGTCATTGTACCTGGGTGCGGATGGAAGAGATGCTAGTCACCCTTGAGAAAAGCTAAGCTCCTCACGGCACAAGGTGGTCCTGACCCTTGCTCAACTTTCTAGGCTTCTCCCAACACCAGCTCAGGCAGGGTCAGATGTGGACCACCTCATCTCTTCATGGGGTCACCCCAGCCCCAAATGTGGACCACCTTCACCCCTCCATGGGGTCACCCAAGCCTCATCACTGGGCTCTTCCTAAGGGAGATTTTCCAGGCACCTCCTCCAAGCAGACCAGATAGCTGGTCTATTCCTCAACAACATCTGTGGGGACTCAAGTTGTCCAATCACACTTCAGCTCCAGCCTGGGTCCTGGGCAGGCATCTCCACCGCCCAAGAAAAAGGAATTCCCCAAGGATGGCGGGAAGCAAGGCCCACCACCTGCAGACCAAGGCTGGTGGCGAGGTTCAGCGGTACTGTCACAGGCACACAAGCCAGGAGTGTGCTGACCTACCTCATGAGCCGGACCATGGAATCCATGTCCTCCACCAGTGACTGGTCCCTCCGGAAGATCTGAGCTCGAGGGTTCTTAGTGTAGGAGAACCAGTCTCCATACTGGGCCACGAAGGCCTGCAGCCCACTGGCGTTGAATACAGTCTCAAAGAACCTGCTGGGACAAGGGTGGTCACCCACAACTCCCACTAGGCACACTGGCTGTGGCTCCGGCCAGGATGGTGGGAGGGGCAGTCACAGTGAACTGCTGTCAGGGCCATAGCATGTTGCAGCAAGGCCCTCTTGTGCTGTAGGGGATGAACCTGGGCTCTGGGCTTACATCTTTCAGCATTCTCTGACCATGGGGCTATGGGTGAGCCAGGACCTCTGCCTCAGTTTCCACATCATGGAATGAGAACAGGCTGCTACACTCATGTATCATGGTCACAAGGACCCCGTGGCAGGTCCTTACATCCTGAGAAAGCCCAGGATGAAAGGTAGCTCTGAGGAACCCAGCTAAGACTGGGTTTATTAGGACTCAGGCTTCTCAGCCATGCTTCAATATCAGCCTGGGTACCGGATGAGCATCTCCACCTCTCAGGGATAGGGGTGGGTCCAGCTGAATGCCTGGCAATGCCCAGTCCCAAGGTGTGGCCATCCCAAATCTCCCTGCAGCAGGTACCAGATCTGGAGGCCACACATGAGGTAGAGCTTTCCCAGCAGGAGAGGGGCTGGGGCAGTTCTCACTGGGACAGATGTGGGGGGCATGGAAAAAGGAAGGATACATACGGGATGTTGTAGCTAGCCCAGTAGGTAGTCTTGTAGAGATCTTCAGTCTTGTCGGCCACCACCACCATGCCCCTGAGACCCAGAGAGACAGACAAAGCAAGTGAGGAGACAACTCGTCGGGCAAAACCAGTGAGGGCTCTCAGGGCCCTCAGCAGGAACTGTGCTGTGTCCTGAACCTCCCACCCCATCAGGAGCACCCCTCCCCTAAGCCCCCTGCCCCCCCTCACCCTGGTACTCACGGGATCTGTTCTAGGATGGTAAGCACCCGGCCTCCAGGGCTGGGTCCATTAGGGATGAATGCCTTGTAGTCCACAATCATCCACTGGTTATTATACCTGCCAGGCACAAGGAAGGAACTACATCAAGCCTGGAACCCTTACAGGAGAAGAGAAAAGAAAATCCACTCATCCTTGAGCCTCGGTTTCCCCAAGTATAAAACAAGGAAGGGGCTCAAGATGCTCCAGTGAGCATCTGCGAGAAGGGGCTGGGCAGAAGGCACTGAGTGCCAAATGGTCTCCAAGTGGCGGCTGCAGGGCCAGCAACGCACGCACGTGCCACTGTTGAACCGCTCGAAGACCTCTGCCCAGGTGGCTCCATCCAAGGCCAGGCGGTTGGCCACGATGTTTCGAATCCACTCCAGCACACAGCCTTGGGGCTGCACATACTTCCACAGGGCTGGGTTCTTGTTGCCAATGGTGGTCTCCAGGGTGACCTGTGGGAGACAAGGTGGGCACAGATGCCACGTGGCAGCCCTGCCCTGTCTTGGCTCAGAAGTCAGTGTTTATGCTTCCTTTACAGTTCTAACCTGCTTTGGTGCATACCCCTCATGGGTTCCTGGAAAAATACTCGGTTTGGGGGAGACTCAGGATCTTGTGCCCAGCTCTGCCTTGGGGACCATACTCCAGGAAGCCCATAGTACCATTCCTAGGTACTCCTTGTCAGAGGGTGAAGTCGTGAAGTCTCCCCCAAGGGGCAGCATTTCATCCCACCTGTCTCTCAGCTCTGCAGGGAACACTTGAGGCTATTCACCTGATGCCCCTGCAGCTAGAGGCCTAGGAAGACCTCAGCCCACCTTGCTCTCTGTCTTGGAGTAACAAGCCGTCTGCCGCTGCCTGTGAAGCCTCTCACCTCACTGCTCCCTGGACGCCCCATGTGTCTACATAAACATGCCTTGTTCTCACTGGTTAAAACCAATGCAGGACTAGCCAGGCATGGTTGCACATGCCTATACTATAACCTAGTACTCAGGCGG